ACAGTTCTCCCATATGTTAGGAGTTCTGGTTAGCAGGGACTCCCAGGGTAGGCTGTGGGGGTAATAATGGGTGGTGACAGGTGAAGAAGTTAGGGCTGGGGGATTCAGCCTTTCCACCTGCACTTCATGGACTGCCCTTTGGTCAGTCCTGGAGGATGATCCCAGGGGAGGAAAGAATTTGAGGGAGTTCATTTTTGGCATTCATTTACATTCCACTCAGCCAAGCATCAGTAACAGCTCCAGCTTCATTACTGGCTCGGCTTTTATTAGAAAGTAGGAGGGAATTTGGCATTTTTAATTAGGGGCTACCAATAAGCTAGACTTCAACACTGCATAGATTCACGTTACTCTACTCTCTGCTTAATTAGGGTGCACTGTAACTGAAAGTCACAGAACATTATTGACACCTAGTGGTCGTTTCAAATACAACACAATTAAAATAAAAATTTAAAAAATAAAGTAAAACCAAGCTTATAAGAAAGCATCAAACAGTAAAAGACTTTATGATATATCAAGATTTCTGGTTATAAAAAGCTAATTTTATTTGGTACCAATTACTAAGAGTTTGTTGTGCACCAGGCACTGTACTAAGCAATCATTTTATTTCACTTAATCCTTATAACTTTAGGAGGCACTGTTTTCTTAAGAAATGAGAAAACTAGGGTTAATGACAATTAAGGAGCTTGTTTTAGAAGTGGGTGATAGCAATTCAAAATCAGGTGAGCTGATGATACTGTTTCTAACAATTACAAATGTTATAGAAGAGTAACCAAACTTCTTCAAGCTTTTTACTGTGAATTATATGAAGCATTCATTCATACATCGATTCATCAGATATTTCTGGAGGGTCATCTAGGTTCAAAGCAATATGACAGATACGGTGGGAAGTAAGATTATGAATTTCATAGTCTCTCTGCCTCCAAAGTTCACTAAAGATCACAGTGCTGTATCCATTCATCATTCATCCAACAAATATGTCTTGAGTACCTACCATGTACCAGTTATTTAGCCTGGGATGAACAGGTTCTTCCTTGTGCTTAAGTTTATCTTGTGAGTGAGACACACACACAAATATAATGTAGTGTCGTGAGCACTCTGACTTTGGAGAAATACAGTGTAATAGGAGGGCACAGAGGCACGGCCCCTACATTATCTTTGGGGACATCAGAAAACATTTTTTGAAAGGATAATGAAAATGAATCTCTTTTCTATTTAATTCTAGCTAAAATAATTTTTCCTCAAAATAAGCAAGCAACTACTTGATTTAATTTCAAATAATGCAAAAAAAATCTTAAAGAGGAAAACTAAATATTTTAAGATATATACAAAGATTATGAACATCTAAAATCTGATTAAGTTCTAAAAGTAAATGCTAATGAATTACAAGTATTTACTGAACAAGAGCTTAGAAAACAAGGAAAAGTCCATCTTACATTCAGTTACTTATTCAGGTCACAGGTATTTATTGAGCATCTACTGTGTCTAACACGCTAAAAGTTGGAAGTGCAATGTTGAGCAAAAGGATCCAGTAGTGCCCACTAGAAGGTTCTACTAGAGCATTTAGCAGAGGGGACAGACAAAAATAAAAACATATAAATTTACTCTCTCCAGTCCATCCCTCCAAGATGACAAAGAAAAGAAGGAACGACAGTTGTGCCAAAAAGGGCCGCAGCCACGTGCAGCCTATTGACTGCACAAATTGTGCCCGATTCACGCCCAAGGACAAGGTCATTAAGAAATTTGTCATTCGAAACACACTGGAGGTCACAGCAGTAAGGGACGTTTCTGAAGCGAGCATCTTCAATGCCTATGTGCTTCCCAAACTGTATGTGAAGCTACATTACTGTGTGAGCTGTGCAATTCACAGTAAAGTAGTCAGGAATCAATCTCGTAGAGCCTGCAAGGACCAAACACACCCACCCCAACATAGACCTGCAGGTGCTGCCCCATAACACCCACCAAAGCCCATATAAGGAGCACGGTCCTTCAAGACTGAAGACAAGACTATCTTCTGGAGAGAAATAAAATGGAAATTGTACTTTAAAAAAAGTATAAATTTACATACAAAGAATAAAATTTCAATTCTTACCAGTAATTAAATCTGAAGGTATTCTATCCGTTAAGAAGTCAACCACAAGTATCCTACTTGTTGCAAATATAACACCACCTTGTGTGTAAACTTCGTAGCGACTGTTGCTTGTAATTTCATTTGTCACACGGCGAGGGAGGTGTTCAACTCCTTCTATCTTCAGCTGATTGATAAAATACTCCTAAATCAAATCAAACTTGATTAGTAGGCTATTTAATACAGGGCAGTTTTTAATAGGTTGCAGATATTTAAAATAATGTGCTGTCTTTCTCTGAGATAATGAACTTAATAACAAATATACAAACTAACTTACTTCTTTTCTTTTTTTTTTAATTTGAGATGGAGTCTGGCTCTGTTGCCTCAGCTGGAGTGCAATGGCACGATCTTGGCTCACTGCAACCTCCGCCTCCTGCGTTCAAGCGATTCCCGAGTAGCTGGGACTACAGGCACATGCCACCATGTCCGGCTAATTTTTTGTATTTTTAGTAGAGATGGTACTGTGTTAGCCAGAATGGTCTTGATCTCCTGATCTTGTGATCTGCCCGCCTCGATCTCCCAAAGTGCTGGGATTACAGGCGTGAGCCACAGCACCCAGCCCTGTTACTTCTTTATAGTAACTTCAACCAACCAGTCTACATTTAATGAGGCTTTCTTGTTTTGGGGTTTACACTGAGGAATAATTGTACTTCAGTCATTCTCACCACTCAACTACAGTAACATATGCACACACACACACAACCTCAAACTTTTAGAAGCCTGGATTAAAAGATTTCTACTACCTAGAAAATACCTCCCACCAAAGCCAGATTTGTAGCCAAGTGCACTGTATGAGAAGATAACAAGGGAATGCTTTCCCAGACAATGTTTTAGACTAATAGTGCTGTCCTGATCCATCCTAGAGGGACTTCATGTCAGTGGGTTCCTTGGCTTGGTTAATTTACATTTTCAGTTCAAAACCACCTTTATTAGGCACCGTGTGTTTCCTTAGGCCCTACGCCAAACACTGGGGATACCTAGATGAATCAAACAGGGTCCCTGCCCTAGGAGAGACTGTGGTCACTCTTCTCAGCTGACATTTTTCTCCTGGCCACCTGATCTATCTAGGGGATCATCAGAGTAGTCAGACCAAGCTGTGTCCCCTCTCAACAAGCCCCAGCCCCAGGTGTGGCCCCATTTCACCTTCCTCAGTGTTTTCCATTCTCCAATATTGCAGTTAACCTTTGCCAACATCCTCAGCTTCCAGCTCCAATCTCTTTCTGACCCTATGGCCTTTTTAACACGGCCTTGGTGAATGCCCTATTTCCTGGTCCCTCCTCTTCCCTATTGGGTTTTTTCCAGTCTCATCATCTCCTTTCATGTCTTCTCATCAACCTCAGAGACCCTTCCATTCCCGCCACTGTTCCCTTTCAGGAACCGCCCTTCTGCCCCAGAAACTCCCTTGATAGGCAACTTAAGGACTCTCCCGTTATCCTATCCAGATCCTGCTTTCGACATCTCCCCTTACCCTGCAGGGACCTCCGATCGTCTCCTACTGCTCAGAGCCCCTCCAACTTTTAGTGCCCTTGCACTCCTATCAGGGACCTGCATCCTTCTGGGACCCTTCCCATCCCTCTTAGTGTTGACAGGGACTTGCCTCCTTCTCTAGCCAGCCGAACACAGCCGAGGAGAGTCGAGACTGAGACCACCGTGGGGGCAACTTCCCCTTCCATCAATCTTACTGCGCCTGCAAGTTATCAGCGACCCGCATCCCCTGGGGACCCCTCCCATTTCTCTTAGCATTCTTGAACTCTGGTCAAAGACTTGCATCCTTCTCGGGACCCCTCCCAATCCTCCCAGAGTCCCAGCACGCTATCAGGCACTTGCATCCCTCACCCTCCTTGCATTCCTGCCAGGGGGACGTGCAGCCTTCTCGGGACTCCTCCTATTCTTCTCAGTGTCCCCGCACAGTGAGCGACCGGTATACTCCTCGCGACCCCTCCCATACATCTCTGTCCCCGCAGTATGAGGGACCTGCATCCCCCTGGTGATCCCTCCCATCCTGCTCTGAGTCATCGCGTAGTGTCGGGGGTCTGAATCCCCTTCAGAGCCCCTCCATCCCTGTCAGAGGCCTCGCATCCGCTCAGGATGCCCCCCAACATTCTCGGGGTCCCCTCACTCCCGCGCCAGCGCGGCCGCACCTCCTCGGCCGACTGCGTGTTGAGCACCAGCACCAGGCAGGCTGGGTGGCAGTGCAGCCGGAGAAAGTGGTAGAGGAGCCGGTCCGCGCCGAGCCCGCGGGCGCACACTACCAGCCCGTCAGTGTCGAGCAGTTCCAGCACCAGCTGCCGTTCGTACTCCAGCAACGGGGCCATGGCCGTCGGCCGAGCCGGCAGTACCGGCTCCATGGAGGCTCTTCCGGGGCGTAGCCGAAAAGAGCCGAGTCAGAGACGAGAATAGGCCGAACTTAACCGAAGAGAGCCGAGTCCGAGAGGACGAAATCTAGCCGAACGCAGTCAAGGAGAGCCGAGACTGAGACGATCGTGGGGCGAATGCAGCCGAAGAGGAGCCGAGGCCAGGACAAGGGTGCTCTCAGAAAGCCGAAGAAAGCCGAGCTTGAGAAGGCAAGCGTCGGCCGAACTTAGCCGAAGAGGAGCCGAAGGTTCGTAGGCTCACCTGGAGAGGCTTGCGCCCCCTATCGGTGTAGCTTACAGACATCAGGCTCCTGCCACGTCTCTTTTGAGGTTCCACATCACCTGGTACCCTAGACCTAGAACGAACGCGAGCTGACAAAAAGGAAGGGGAGAGAAAGTTAGCCTAAGGAGCTTAATCCCCTGACTTCGACAGTTGAAAAAGTTAATGGTCAATATTCCAAATGCGTCTAGAGTTAGTAGCACCTGTTTCCTAGGGTGGTTTGTGGACCCTCCTTTTGCAATTGGTCCCCATCCCCCCTTTAATTTTTTTTTTTTTTTTGAGACAGAGTGTTGATATGTTGCCCAGGCTGGAGTGCAGTGCCTGTGGAATAAGCAGAATCATTTACTAACTTCAGATCCCTGTTTGCCTCCAAAAGACATTAGGTACAATAAACTATTTTTAAAAATCTCTCCTTCCACTAGAGGGACACCTCCCGCAGTGTTTGCTCTATACCTAGAAATGCCAGATCATTGAACTAGTAGAGGAATTGTTTTGTATAGAACCTCCCACCTTTATGATTAGAAAATAGAAAATACAAGTAAGCAAAAATGAAAATCACTCGATTCCATTACGTGGAAACAACCACTGTTAATATCATGAAATCTATTTCATTTAGTCCTTTTTTTCCTGTCTGTACACACATTCTCTCATCGCACAGAGTTCTTTTACCGGTATGATGTAATTAATATCCCTGATTTAACCCCCCAATTTTGTCATTAACATTTGGCAAACCTCTGAACATGATGCTTCATATTATTTTACAAAGTCCTTTTATGTGGCTGATGAGATTTCCACAATGTGGATGTATTTATTTATCTAATCGCTTATTAGAGGATGTTTAGTTTGTTTCTGCTTTTTCCCCTGCAGTATTACAAATAATATCTCACTAATTATCTTTGTATGTAAATTCAACCATGGCCTTCAGATACACGTCTAGAAATGAATAATCACTGGGATAAAGAGGAAAACATTTGTAAGGCTTTTCATTACATGCACTTTGCCACACTGCCCTCTAGAGAGCCTATACCAATTCACATTCACAGCAGCCGTTTCAAAGCGGATCCGTTCCTCTACCTCTTTACTGTTTAATCCAGTATTTTCCTTACATTTTGTCAAGATGAAAATAGCATCTAATTCCTGGATGCTGTTCAAGTGGAAAGGGATGCCTGCAGACACTTTACATACGGCGCTTCCTGCGAGGCAGATATTAATCTCGTCAGTTCTGCAAGTGAGAAAAATGGAGGTACCGGGAGGTTATATAACTTGGGCAAGGCCACGGGAGCTAGTGTATTTCTTAGATCTATTTCAGGATGTGGTAGGGAGGTACTCAACACATATTTAGGAAATGAAGATTTAAATGACAAGGCTGAAATTCAAACCTGATTCCCAAGCTGTGGTAGGCAGAATATCGGCTTCCCAAAGATGTTCACATCCTAATCCCTGGAGCGGGTCTGTTATCTTATGTGGCAAAGGGGGATTTGCAGATGTGATTATGTTCAGGTTCTGGAGATGAGGATATTATATTGATTGTCCAGGTGGGCTCAATGTAACACAAATGTGCTTATAAGAGAAAGTCAAGATCACAAAGAAAACCAATTTCATGTTTCTTTTTAAAGAGTTTACCCTCAAATTATCTATGTATACTTATGACACATTCTAATGAAAGAAAGAGGGGCCAGGTGTGGTGGCTCACGCCTGTAATCCCAGCACTTTGAGAGGCCGAGGAGGGCGGATCACAAGGTCAGGAGATTGAGACCATCCTGGCTAACACGGTGATACCCTGTCTTTACTAAAAATACACAAAATTAGCCGGGCGTGGTGGCATGTGCCTGTAATCCCAGCTACCCAGGAGGCCGAGGCAGAAGAATCACTTGAACCAGGGAGGCGGAGGTTGCAGTGAGCTGAGATCACGCCACTGCACTCCTGCCTGGGTGACAGAGTGACACACCATCTCAAAAAAAAAAAAAAAGAGAGAGAGAGACAGGTAGGAGGGTCAGATTCAGAGATGAGACGGAAAGCCGAGGTCAGAGTGATGTGGAAGGGGCACTGCACCAAGGAATGCAGCCCTTACCAAGTGAAACAGGCAAGGAAATAGATTCTCCCCGAGAGCTCCCAGGAAGACTGCAGCTCTGCTGACCCCTTTTGGACTTCTTACGCCAAAACTGGAAGATGATGAATTTGTGTTAAGCCCGTTTGATCAGATGACCTCCCCAGCTGATCGAAACAAAACAAAATTTAAAAACTATAGATAGGAATATACGGTGAAACAATCCTTTTGGAAGGCGACTGGTCAATCTACAAATAAATTTTAAATACAGGTATAGACACGTATATACATATAGTCATCTGGAGAATGTTTATGGGGCACCCAATGTGTCATGTGCTGCTCTAAGTGCTGGGAGTTTATTAGAGGGCAAAGCAGGCATAGAACTTACATTCTAGTGGGGACCTTGTATATGAAGATGTGTATTCATTATATCATTGTGTGGACTATTGTTATTTCTTGGATATTCCTCCTAAATGTCCAAGAAGAGGAGAGTAGTTAAAATTTCATCATGCGTCTCTGATAAGTAGAATATCAGCCGTGAAAACCTGTATGTGGAAAGATACTCAATATGTTTTATTGTATACTGGAAAAAGCAGTTGCAAAACAGTAATGTATAGTATGGCTCCTGTTTTTATAAAAACGAAACAGTAAGTGGTAGTTGCATGTGACTGCATAGAAAAACCCTGGAATAAAGATCTGTTGATTTTAACCACAACAATTACCTCTGGGGAGTTGAAATAAGCAGTGGGTTTTAGGGTCAGACCTTTGTACTTCAGTATATGCTTTTCTGTTCTGTTTGACTTTTTTTTTTTTTTTTAATCATGAACTTACACTGCTTTTAAAACAAAAATGAATGAAAAAACTTCCCAGCTACTGTATAAATACTTTATCAGCACTAGAAAATATAACCTTGTAAATTCTAGATTTAAATGTGTGTGGTGGGCATCATTTAATGTCAAATGTTGGTATCTAGGAAAGTAGACAAAATAAATTGTGACAGGTTGTGTCTACACATTTTACTTTTACCACTGGGTAAAAGCTTTTGATTTAAAGTGAAGAGGTTTTTTTTTTCTGAGATAGGGTCTTGCTTTGTTGCTCAGGCTGGAGTGAGTGCTGGGGTGCAATGGCACCATCTCGGCTCACTGCAAGCTCCCCTTCCCGGGTTCAAGCAATTCTCGTGCCTCAGCCTCCTGAGTAGCTGGGATTACAGTCACCCACAACTATGCCCATCTAATTCTGTATTATTAGCAGAGATGGGGCTTTGCCAAGTAGGCCAGGCTGGTCTTGAACTCTTGACCCCAAGGGATCTGCTTGCCTCGACTTCCCAAAGTGCTGGGATTACAGGCATGAACCACCACACCCAGCCTAAAGTTTGTTCTTTATTTCACTTATAATTTTTTGATGTCCTTTCTGCTTTAAATTATCTCCAATGTGGATTTTAACTATTTTATTAGAATTTAAATTTCCTCGAATTCTTTTTTTGTTTAATTTGGCTTTTTGTTCTGCATTTCTGCCTTTACCTTTATAGCTCCCTACTTTTGTTTCATAGAAGCTTCTTAATTTTATATTTATTGATATATCTATATCTACACAGATTTATATATGCAGATTATCTATATCTTCCTAGATACATTTAGATATAAACCGTTTAGACACATATAAACTTACAGTTAGCCCTCTGTGGGTCTGTATCTGTGGGTCCAACAGTGGTTTAAAAATACTGAAAAGAAAAACCAACAAAAAATAACAATATAAGAATAAAATAATTTCAGAGTGAATAAAACGTAAAAAAATTATCAATAAAAGTTCAAATAAAAGTCAACACAGTGTAACAACTATGTTGTTACATAACATTTACATTGTATTGTGTATTATAAGCAAGCTAGAGATGCTTTAAAGTGTATGGGAGGATGTGCATGGGTCATATTCAAACACTACAGCATTTTATATGAGGCACTTGAACATCAAGGAATTTGGGTATTAATATATAGGGAGGCAGGGAGTCCTGGAACCAATTCTCCGTGAATAACAAGGGACAACTGTATTTGTTATTTATCAACAAGTAATTTTAAAAAGTTTTGTCTGGGCCGGGCACGATGGCTCACGCCTGTAATCCCAGCATTTTGGGAGGTCGAGGCAAGCAGATCACTGAGGTCTCAAGTTTGAGACCAGCCTGATCAACATGGAGAAACCCTGTCTCTACTGAAAATACAAAATTAGCCGGGTGTGGTGGTGCATGCCTATAATCCCAGCTACTTGGGAGGCTAAGGCAGGAGAATCACTTGAATCCGGAAAGTGGAGGTTGAGGTGAGCTGAGATCATGCCATTGCACTCCATACTGGGCAATAAGAGCAAAACTCCATTTCAAAAAAACAAAATTTTATCTGTATATTTTAGAAAATCAGTTTTAACTTATGCTTTTTTTCCCCTGTCTTTAGAACAATGTTCTTTTTTTCTTTTGCTTTAGTACCTTTTTATAGCCCTCAAATGTGAATCATTATCTTAGGAAAGAAAATCTTTTAGTTACTTATTATTCCACCAAGATACTGCTTATAAATAATAAGATTTGTGATATTTTGTAACAACGGATTATCAGTCTCAAGTTACACAGCACTAAAAAGAAATACATTATGTGTGTTTTTGAAGTCCTACAATAAAAACAATTTAAAAATAACATCTACAGAACTTATTTGGATCTACTGAGAATAAAGTTTACCTGCAAGAGGGATTATTAAAAATTTGTATAGATAAAAAATATTTGGTAGTAATAATTTATAAAATTAGAAAAGTTAAATTTTATTTGAGGTTTTCCCAATATTCTACTTAAAATTTGATATTTAGGGGTTTAATGTAATCCATAACATTTAGGGACTGAAGAACAGAAAGCAATTTGGATATTTACACATTTGTTTAGTGAAGAGCTCTCAAGCAAAGCAATGCTTCATCACAGCTGTCCTGCCTCTGCCTACTTTTCTCTGGAACAGATAATTTTAAGCGCATCCAGCTACACAGGAGGCTGAGGCAGGAGAATCACTTGAACCCGGGAGGTGGAGGTTGCAGTGAGCTAAGATCACACTATTGCACTCCAGCCTGGGTAACAGAGTGAGACTCTGTCTCAAAAAAAAAATAAATAAATAAAAAAAAGGAAAAAACTTAAGGGCATCAGCACCAGAACTTTATAAATACACAAGTATCTGTGCTTATACAGCAGACTTAGCAAGACTTTTGTAAAAGTGGAATAACTTCATATAAGATATATAAAGAGGCAAGGCCCAGTGGCTCACGTCTGTAACCCTGGCACTTTGAAAGGCTGAGGGGGGTGAATCACCTGAGGTGAGGTGTTTGAGACCAGCCTGGCCAACATGGTGAAACCCCTTCTGTACTAAAACTTAAAAAAAAAAAAAAAAATTGGCTGGGTGTGGTGGCAGGCGCCTGTAATCTCAGCTACTTGGGAGGCTGAGGCAGGAGAACTGCTTGAACCCAGGAGGTGGAGGTTGCAGTGAGCTGAGATCAAACCACTGGACTCCAGCCTGGGCTACAAGAGTGAAACTCTGTCTCAAAAAAAAAAAAAAAAAAAAAGATGTAAAGATGTATACAGCTTTCCAAATGTTTTTTGTTTCTAAGTGTTCCTATACAGAAATATGAGAGGTGCCTATTTTTATAGTCTTAGAAGGCACACACATTTCAGGCGCTGGGAGTGAGAAACACCTGCTAGTGTGGGAAGAGCCAGAGGTACTCTATTTAGACTTCAGACCAGCTATCAATATTCGACAAGAGCACCTGTGCTGAGAATTAGTCAGTTTCTGCCCTCAGATTCCCCGCTGCCTGACTCTCACCAATGGTAACTCCCTCTTATGCTGGCATGCAGGCTGGGCATGCTGAATTTAATAAATTTAAGTACTGAATGTAATATTTATACATCTGGAGGAATTCTGCCAATATGCACTAGATGACAGTGAGCCAGAAGTCCCTCTGAATCCACTGCTTGGCATGGCTCAGTATATACAGTGGCTGCGTTCTCTAGGGAACAGAACATGGCCTTTAGACATGCAGACCTGGACTGAGGTCCAGCATTGCCCAGAATAACCACTCGGCCTGGTAAGTCACAAAGCCCATCATTTATTAAATAAAGTGTCTTAGGTGGCTGGGTGTTCATGCCTATAATTCCAGCACTTTGGGAGGCCAAGGTAGATGGATCACTTGAAGTCAGGAGTTCAAGACCAGCCTGGCCAACATAGTGAAACCATGTCTCTACCAAAAAATACAAAAATTAGCCCAGCATGGTGGTTTTCACCATAGTCCCAGCTACTTAGGAGGCTGAGGTGGGTGAATTGTTTGAACCCTGTGGTGGGTAGAGGTTGCAGTGAGCTGAGATTGCACCACTGCACTTCAGCCTGGGTGACAGAATGAGACACTCTCTCAAAAGAAAAAAAACCAAAACCCAATTGTCTTAGGTCATACCCTAGAAGCAGAGCCTGAGGTTTCCTGTGTGTATCAGGCGAGGTTCAATCAGAGAAGCAGATTTACAAGGAGTAATAGGGAATAAGAGATTTATTACAGCGTTGTGACCAAACACAATCATGAGAGATGGTTGAATTGTTTATGGTCATTGATTCCGTGTCTGGTGCTGGGCCTGAAGTCAGCATGGCAGGCAGAGAGGAAGGAATGATGGGTGTACAACAGAGGAGGGGAGGAAGAACTGAATACTATGGGGATGAGCTGGAACTCACGCTGGTTTCTTAACCACTTGCATGCCTCTGACTCCCGTGACGTGGAGTCTCTTGTAGGGGAAGGTGGTGCCTGTCGTCATGGGTTTTAGATAATCACCTTGGCCAGGAAGTGGAGATGCTGAAGGAGGAGAAACTGAAAGGGAAGAGGCTGAAGTGGGAGGGCTGGCAGGAGCCGGAGTAGCTGGAAATAAATCTTAATGTCAAGTATTGAACAAAAGAACTGACATTCAAAAAGGAAAAGTTTCTCAGCAAGGCAAATTTACTTCTGCAGAAGGATGCTTCTTGCATACAGAGCAGTGGCAAGAGCACACCGAACAAAGGAAAGCAGGGGTTCTTACTTCCTAACACAGTTCCTGTTTCTGTGTCCTTCCACTATAGGTTGGGGTCAGACCCCACAATCTAAACTGATCCTGATTGGCTAGATTTAACATTATTCCTAATTAAGGGAGGGATGTTGGGTACAGGGTTAGAATAGGACAAAGAACTATGAAGTTAACTGTTCGTACCTAATGACTTAAAGCAGGGCAGTGTGGGTCGGTTCCAAGCTTGGCACGTCAGGCAAGAAACATTACTTATAGAATAGAACAAAGGACAAGGGAGTTAAACCTTTTGAAGAGCAACTGTTTGTTCCTAACACTGTGGACCTGGTCACCACCCCTCATCAACCAATGACAATACAGGTAAGCCTGGGAACCAATGACAATACAGGTGAGCTGCAACACTGCGTGCTCCTCATCTGCCTTTTGGTGCTGCTTCACTCTTGCCCTCCCCATTGGATGCTAAATTCTCCTGTGGCCAAACCTAATCCAGAACTGTATAGGGAAGAGAATTCTGGGTTATGTGGTTCTAGCTTAGTTAAGTGGACATAGTGAGATAAGAGGCAAGACTCAACTCTGTAGGTGGGACTCAGACACTGGACCAAATTGAGGACTAGCTAAAACAGGGAATGAGTGGAAGCAGCTTTCCAAAGATATGTCCACCAGTGTGCCATGTCGGTGTACCATTGCCATGGCAACATCCAAAAGTTACTGCCCTTTTCCATGGTAACAACCTGGTGACCTAGAATTACCACCCTTGTCCTGCAAATTCCTGCATAAACTGCCCCTTAATTTTCATATAATTAAAAGTCAGTATAAATATGACTACAGAACTAGGTGTTCTGGGCACACTGCCTATGGGGTAGCCCTGCTCAGCAAGGAGCGGTTCCTCTGCTGCTGATGTGCACTGCCACTTCAATAAAAGCTGCTGTCTAATACCGCTGGCTTGCCCTTGAACTCTGTCCTGGGTGAAGCCAAGAAGCCTCGTGGGCTAAGCCCTGATTTGGGGCTTGCCTGTCTTGCATCAATAGTGCAAATCACGGCCAGGCACAGTGACTCATGTCTGTAATACCAGCACTTTGGGAGGCTGTGGCAGGTGGATCATGAGGTCAGCAGTTCAAGACCAGCTTGGCCAAGATAGCGAAACCTGGTTTCTACTAGAAATACAAAAATTAGCCAGGTGTGAGGGCAGGCACCTGTAATCCCAGCAACTCAGGAGCCTGAGGCAGAGGTTTCAGTGAGTTGAGATCATGCCACTGCACTCCAGCCTGGGCAACAGAATGAGACTCTGTCTCAAAAAAAAAAAAAAAAAAAAGTGCAAATCACTGTGCTGTGCAAGTGATTTAGGAAGGGAGGGATCTCAGAAAAACTAGTACGGAAGTGGGAGAAGTAGGACAAAAAAGGGAAAGAAGCCAAGCAACGTGTGATTTTGGGCAAAGCCTAGGCTGATTCCACAGGGGCATAAGGGGTCGAAGTTACCCCTCAGAGTTATCCTGCCTGGAGGCAAAGGAGCTGGGCTCTTATAAACTTGCACTGTCATTTATTTTCTACTGGCCCAGGGGTGGGGAATAAATTCGCAGGCACATTTTGTTCTCTGCAAATACAGGCACAGCAGCTCCTATGTAGGAGTGGCAGGGGCAGGTTTTAGGAAGCCAAAGCCAGCTGCAGCCAAG